CATTTGTGCTAATGACCTGCTGGCTGTTGCAGAGAGGCAGCACGGCAGCTGCGCTGAGCCCCTTGTAGGAGGGGACACTCCTTTGGGGCCATCTCTGCTAGCTAAGGGGATGTGATGGGAGCGGAACTGGCAGTGCGGGGTGGCCTGGGAAGCTTGAGGGTGGCACCACTGCCAAGAAAAAGCATCTTGGGGCCCATGGCCCCTGTTACTTTCAGGGCTCAAGATTCACCAGTCGGTTCAGAAGCTGTGGAGAAACAGAGGGATGGTGGGGGCTCAGGAAATGGGGCTAGAAGGGAGCGCGGTGCATTAGAGGGGACCGCAGTGAAGATCAATACCTATCATTGCAGTGTTAATAACTCGTCTGGCCCATTTTGTATTCACAGTGCTGCAGGGTTTGATTGCAGACATGGCAGTACAAACCTGTTTAAAATGCTGAGTAACAGAAATGTTCCTTTGCATTTGATTTTGCAAAGGTTTAATTTTGTAAGTCCTGAATTTTAGACCAGTTTTGAGATCAGTTATTTGGATCAGACTTTACCCAAATGCTGCCAGTGCTGTGAGAATGTATTACGTTAAAACAAGTATTATTGTTGTACATACATCTTACACATGAAATAATCACTAACCAAGATGCTGCTGAGTTGCAGGAGAAGTGTTGGGGGTTTTTTGTGAGCAGAATGTAGTTAATTAGTCCAAAGGTGGCAGTATTTACTCCGATAGCTTCATCACTCTGCAATTCCCTCCTGCAGTGATGCCGATCCAGTTATCCAAGGGATATTTCTCACACCTGATGGCTTTAGCAGTTGCACTTACAGCTGCTAAGAGGCGGCTAAGCATTGAGGCATCCAGAAGATGCTTCTGCACTCTGCAGTCAGCTAAATACATCAAGCGATGATTGTCTTCCTCAGAGACAAGCCGTTGTTCACAGGTACAGGATTAGCTGCGCCTGATGACCTGATCTCCTCTAGGGATTCTGCTAAAATTATGGACAGCACAAGACTGTCGATAAAAGCCCTGGTTTTAGTGGAGAGCCGCCAGCATTGTCTTCTAGTCTGAGCATGGGATCGGAGCCAGAACTCCTGCCCTTCAGCAGGCTCTCGTCCTTCCCCTGAGAAGGAGAGAGAGAGAAAAACCCATTTAGGCGTGTGGTTTTCAGGTATCTGTACACTCTTGAGTGCTTTAGTTGTTCACTGGCCAACTTGCATCTTTATGCCCTCTTCTCAGATGTGCTGAAAGTCATTTGGCTTCTGTGGACGTTGTTTGGAGCTGTAGCTGTGCAACGGCTCTGGCAATCGGGCAGCTGCTCTCTGCTCTGGGGTTTATAAAATTAGCAAACACTTCCGTAAAGGTAAACAGCCTTTTTGCAGAGTGTAACGTGAGATTAGTACTCTGCTTGCTCTCAGCACACCGGGGCAGTCAGCAGGCTGCTGGAGCTCTGAAACAGCCCCGTGCTGGGGAATAATTAGGCAGAACAGGACTCTGATGCTTAAAACCAGAGCAGGGCTCCATGTGGTGCTACACGGGCATGCTCCAGGCATTGGCTTGCGGGGTTCTCCTCAGAGGGACGAGGCTGCTGTTTTCTTGCAGGCAGAGCTAATTGTGGGTGATCAGAGCGGTGCCATTCACATCTGGGACCTGAAGACAGACCACAATGAGCAGCTGATTCCAGAGCCTGAAGTTTCTGTGAATTCGGTTCACATTGACCCCGATGCCAGTTATATGGCAGCTGTCAACAGCTCGGTGAGCTCCAACGGCCTTGAACGTGTGATGGGATTTATGGTGCTCCAGCAGCTGCTGGGCTGTGCCTCTCATGGGCAGAGGCAGGCGGGTTGCACGGACCATGCCTGCAGCTTTGCCGTGCTGTGGTCCAATGTGCAAAGTCGGCTGCTTTCGGGTGGGTGACCACCAGCCCGGCCACGGATCCCCCCATCTCGCTGCAGGGAAATTGCTACGTATGGAACCTGACGGGTGGCATCGGAGAGGAGGTGACCCAGCTGATCCCCAAGACCAAGATCCCAGCGCACAACCGCTACGCTCTTCAGTGCAAGTTCAGCCCCGACTCCACGTGAGTGCATGCCAGCCCCTCGCCTACCTGTGACAGGAACAGACAGTCCTTTCTGGGCAGGCAGAGGCCAGCTGTGCCTCCAGCTGTTGGCTGAGGCTGGCTCCACATTGCCTTGCAGGTCCCCTTCAGGGAGGAGCAGGACAGGAGGTACAGGACATGCTGGCACTGGGTTGCTGGCAATGGTTTCCCAGCCTCATGCTCCCTGATCTCAGCAAGCTTTGCAGCCACGAGTGGGTCTTACAGCTGGGATTGAATTGCTGATCTCTGGGAGCAAAGCAGTGTGCTTGCTGTGCTCCTTTGCTGAGTCTGTTTGGCTTGAATCTCATAAAGCAGATGATAGAGGCGTAAAGAAATATAATTACAATGAACGCAGGTCTCCAGTTCATTACTGTTCCGGGCCCACGAGAGGCCCCCCTAACCTAATAAGGTTGCCCTCACATGTCTCTTCCTTGCAGGCTCTTGGCTACATGTTCTGCAGATCAGACGTGTAAGATCTGGAGGACTTCAAACTTCTCTCTGATGACAGAGCTGAGCATTAAGAGCAATAACCCAGGGGAGACGTCTCGGGGCTGGATGTGGGACTGTGCGTTCTCCGGGGACTCCCAGTACATCGTCACAGGTGAGGCACTGCTGCGCTCTGCCCTTGGCCCCCAGCAGCAGGGCCCTGCACTAGCACAGGACTTGGCAGCTTCTCTAGCTGGGACATTGCCAAACCCTGGGGCGCCGGTATGCGAGGAGAGAGCACCCAGCCTCACACTCACAACGCGGTCTACTAACTCCCATAAACATTTTGCCTGCGCTGCAGTAGGGCATCTGTTTGAACTGGAGAGATGATCTCCATGTGTGCAGTTTGTTTCACCTGGGAGCAATGCTGCTTGCAGTACTTGCAGCATGATAGTCCCTTCAAAACATACATGATGTAATTTCCACAGTAACTTTGCTCCAAAATAATTAAAACCTCATGTAATACAGAAATGCACTAAGCTGCTTGCTCTGCATAGCTCTCTTGCCTGTCATCCAAAGCCCTAATAATGGCATTGAGCAAAGAAAGAGGAAATTCTTTCTTATAATAAAAATAGTTTAAAGGGTAATGCAATATAGCCCACTCCTCTCTTCACTTTCTGTTCCAGCTTCCTCTGATAACTTGGCCAGACTCTGGTGTGTGGAGACAGGAGAAATCAAGAGGGAATACAGCGGCCACCAGAAAGCAGTTGTCTGCCTCGCTTTCAACGACAGCGTGTTGGGATAATGGTCACATGTAGGAAGGAAAAGACCTCTGCTTCTTCTCCCTTGTCTTACAGCAGCAAGCACCCTCTCTGGAGCCCGAGACACGCACCTGTAACGATCCCCTCCTCTGATGGAGCAGGCTCGGTCTCTGGGAGAAGCAGCTGCATCTGCCGGGGGTGAGACCAGGCTTCAGCTCTGAGCAGATCATTACCAAAACGTGTGTGGCCTCTAAGGGAGGCCGCTTGGACAAAAGGGAATGGGAGAGGGAGGCACGATCCCACTGAGGGGAGCTGGGTACAGTTCAGCTGGAGGAATCCCTGTGACATCGGCTGCTGACAGCTTTGTGATGTTCTTGTACTCCAAAGTGGAAAAAAAATAATTTGCCTTCCTAAATGATGGCATAGGCTGAGCAAAGAGAGGAAAGGCAGCTGTTTTCTTGTTTTGCAATCCCTTTATTCAAAGTGTCTTTCACAGACTGAGTTGGAGAGCTGCACTCCTATAAAGCCAACCACCCCCACCAAATTTAATAACCTTGTGTTGAACAGGGCAGGTAGCCATAAAACACTAGCTACTCCACATGATTCCTCTAGGCCTGGATCTCCTAATACCTACGGACAAGATACAGCCCTGGAGCACAGCTGCAAATAAAGTGTCTGTACCGACAGTGCTGAGCAGAGTCCTGTTATTTTTCTAAGCTCTCCTGATCTGCAGCATGAAAAAAAAACTTTTGGGGGATATTGTAGATGTTACCTTCCTTGTTGAAATCAGAGGCTTTTCAGGAATCCGGTTCAAGTATGTAGAGCAGTGAGAGGGTGTCCGCAGCTGCAGGACTTACTCGGGGAGGTAGTAAAAGCAGATAGACACACAAATGTTGCTTGGAAAACAGATGTCAATGCAAAGGTAGATCAGCCGCTGCTTCCCTGGACCTGCCAAATGAGCGAGGACAGAAGCAGGGTGAGAGGAATGCTTTTGCAGTCCTGCAGATACGAGTCACTGGGGAGCCAAACAGGTGGAAAGCTTCAGGGAATGACCTTTCTCATTAAAGCTGGAGTAAGAGCAGAATGAGAGCTCGGCAGGCTGCTTTTGGTGAAGATGAAGGTGACCAGCGTAAGCCAACAGCATTGCAGGCGACTGCTCTGTGTTGTGGTTGTGCTGTGCAAGCAGGCTGCCCTGTGCGGGGAAGGGGGCTCGGAGCCCTTCCCAGCCAGCGCCGCGGTTCACTGCAGGTTGTGGGCACGAGCCAGCGCTCGGTGATCGCTGAACAATGGTTTGATTTTGAACTAGAGGTCACCTGTCCCTGTCCCGGGCCTTGGCAGCCCATCCTGGGACGTGCATCAGCTTTTGCGCAGCAGAGCCTGCTCCTCTTAGATGTGCTAGAAACAATCGTGCTTCGCCCTTCTGCAAAGGGACATGTACAACTTACCCTCCCCTCTCCTGACCCAGAAGATGGATGTCTGCTCACACAGGGTCTGGACAGCCTCCCCCAGGCTTTTGGGGTCCACCTGTTCCCCTGACCGAATTCCCAGGAACTCCCGGTAGTACTTGGTCTGGTTATTCTGATGTAGCAGCTGATCAGCCTGAAAGAAACGTCCCTGTTAATTCCTCCCAAGGCACTCTGCTCCTCCTGGCGCTGCCCTCCAGCCCCGCAGACCTGCTCTCGCTCTCGGGGCACCCAAGGAGCCGTCTCTACCCCGGCAGTAAGGGCAGGTTTCTCCCAACAGCTGCCCCGTCCCACCAGGCTGCCGGGGTGCCCCCTCTGGCTGCAGCAGCCCCCCAGGAGCAGCCTGGCTGCCGGG